CTCAAAGCGCTCATGTTCTCCACTGACAAAGGTGAACTCAGTGCATAGCAAACTTATTAAAGGGAGGAAAGAAAATCCTAACAAAGTAGATAAAAAGGGTAACTCCTTTCTAAAGTATAACAGCATCAATTGTATAAGGTTTTTCCCATGGGCGCCAACTGCCAGGCTTGCTTCCATGTGCTGGACCCTGATGATGCTTGCACTGCTTCTTGCACTGGCTGTGCCTTGCTCGTCTTTTGCTGCTTCAGCCCTCCGCAGAGCATGGCAGTGCTGAGCCCTGAACAGGGACTCTAATCTCCTGGGGGAATTGGCAGCTCCTTCTTCCATCTTCTCCAAGCCCGGGATACAGAAGTCCCATACCCCTTCTGCTTGCCTGCCTCTGGTTCTGCACTCCAGCTCCCACGTTGGTGCTGGAAGCTGTGACCTTACATCAGACCAAATCATCACCTGGGCATGTTCAGCTTTTCGTACACTACTCAGTTCTGGTTTTCTCCATTTTATAGCAGAATTTCCCTTTTAATAGAAATGCATCTGAAACATGATAAAGCATTGCGTGAAAATCAAAGCACCACTTAAGCTGGCCTATAGATTCCCTCCACTCCTAATAATGAAGGAGAGGCTGTTCTTTTGTGGATCCTGGGGAATTTGGGGAAGTGTATTGCAGCTTTTTTTTTTTTTTTTCCTTCATGTTTTAGCCATATTCTAAAGCTTTAGCCATATGCTTTTGCAATAATGCTAATTATGCTTTTTCAATAACTCCCTCCCAAAGATGATCTGAGTAGAGTTGGTCACAGAGTTGTCTGTGAACAGCCTCACTTCAAAGACACTAAAGCATCTGTAGCCAAGCAGATAAGTATTTCTAGGTATTAGATCAGTTCCCCCAAGACTTAAGTTATGTATAATTTGTAGATGCTATTTGCTAGATATTCCAGGACCCTTTGAAAGCCCCCCCATATACCAGAAAGGTGTCCAGAAACACTCTGGGAGGTAAGAATCTACAAGACAATCTTCTCCGAAATTTAAAAGCAGAATAAGAGGGAATTTTTTTTTTCCTCTTCCTTTTTCTTTCCTAATTGGTAGTTGTTTGTAGAGATAACTCTTTCTTCACATATCAGCATGTTGATCTAACCGGTCAGAAAACGCACAGGCCAAGCAAGAGATGAGACTAAAGAAGCAGAAACAAAGGAATGACCAGTGTTTGGTCACCTGTGGAACTGACTGCTGTAAAAGGCAGGTATAGTTTGTCTTGATTTTTGGATGAAAAGGGTAAAGCAGGAAACAATGCTGGTGTGTAGCCTGCAGTTTTCTGTGATACCACTGCAGCAAAAGGGAACTAGTTGCTTTTGTATGTAGACTGATCACCCGGACAAGGGTTTGCAGAAGAAGCTGAAGGAACTGACTTGGCCAGTCGCTGTAGCTTCTGAAAATCCCAATTGTGTTTCTTTACTTGTGTCTGAAGCATTAACTGAGTTCATGCCAGAGTGCCATATGAGGCAGACTAAACCACCCTCCTCAGATTTCCCCTGCCAAAAATGGGTGTTTGTCTTTCACAGATCCCTGTCTCCGATTGCCACTTGGCTCAGACTAGTCTTAATGTAGTTAAAGTCTGTGCTTTTACGCCTTGCTAAGGCCTCACTGTATTTTAATAGTCAAATAACGTTTTACCAGAGCTGGCTTCTTTTGCTCTGTAATTGTTTTGGTTTCCTTTTACTCCATTTCTTATTTATGAATTATTTCAAAACAGGCCAATGGAAGCCTTCAAGGAGATTTTTAAACAAGTTTTGACAATGTTTTTTTATTGTTCTGAGCTAAAAATAATGCAAACCAGCAGGTACAGACTGAAGAAGAGTGCCTGCAGTCCCTATAGGACCTTTTACTGAATTTGCTCCCTAGAGTGAGGCAAATAGAATAAAAAAAAGAAAAAGGCATCAGTTCCATTTGTTCACCTTACTAGGCTGTAAGTGCCAAGGCTTAGCACTGAGCAGTGCCACTGCCTTCCTCACCAAAGAAGAGAAAAACTCATCTTGTCTGTGATGAAAAAATTAGAAGGATGCTCTTCTCCCTGCTACACAAGGTTAATGGTATGACTGGCACAAGAGGGAGTCACGGCTTGCTTATGCTCCTCTAATGGGACACTGAATGATACGTTCACCAAGAATAATTTAGAAATGGTCTTCGGCTTCTCCAGCCACTGACCTCCTCCTAATCCCCCAATTTGTTCTTGGGCTCTTGAGTATTTCTGGGTGTCTGCCACTTCTTCACCATTTTTGTAGGTGAGCTTCTTTACTGTAGTTTAGTTCTTTGATCCCACCAGTACATTTGTACCATTTCTCAGTGTGGATCACAGGAGAAGTCACCTCAGTGTATTTTGGTTCTCTGGACAGCGAAAAGGACAACCTCATTTCCCTCCAGCTACTTGTCTTTCTGTTATAGACTGCAGAGTGACAGTCAGAGCAATACTTGATTGGGCAGTGTCCTCAGCAATAGTCAGCTCTTAACAGGAACACTTGGAAGACTGTAAGATTTTGAAGTGGGGTTTTTTGTAACATATACGTCGCAGGACAGCAGTCAGTACAGATTTAAAAAGCAAAAGATTTCTCTTTTCAGCTTAGAACAGCCAGGAAGCTTCCAATTATAGAAGCGGGGGAGCAGTGGAGTCCTGGTGGAGCTGCAGGGCACGAGCCACTTCTTAACTTCTCATCAGTGGTCTGCAGAATGTACATCTAGCTAAACACACGTAAAATTAAATATCACCTCTGTTAACATCTGCAATTGGTACATAAATTGGGGGACAGGTGGATCACGAGGAAGAAGAATCAGTGATTGGGATTTTCAATAACCTGCAAATAACGTTCCAGTTTTGGATAACATTCACATAACTTTGTTCTGACGCAGCCAAATACAGGACTCTGAGCCCAGAGAGCCTTCCTGTGGGGGGAGCTACATTTGCTTTACAAAAGGTTGAGGTTTGCACTAGAAGAGCAATTCAGCAAGGTCTGGTAGCTGTCACTGCACTCCTGAATTGTATCAGAGAATCCATGTCTTTTTATGTGGTTACAAGCCCAGTCATGCTTACCACACTGGAGTCCAAACATTTTTAAAGGTCAAAAGCTAGAAAGTACATAAAGAGCTGCAGCAGCACCTTGAGGTATTTACAGCTCCATCAATTTGGATTATCAAAACAGAAACCAGATGAGTACAGGCACATAAGTTGTATTGTCAGGGGGAGATGATAGCAAATGCCTCTCTGCTACTGGAGAAGGGGTGTAGAAGCAGTGGGTGGATGCTGACCCATACAAAGTCAAATGAGAAAAGTCACAACTTTAACAGCAATGTTAAACTGGACAAAACACCACTGGAATGGGTACAGTGTCCCTCTCTCTTGATGCTTCCACACCATGTTCAAATATCTTCCCCAAAAGATACTTGGGAAATGAGATGGGCACATTTGATACCTCTTCTGGGATAATAGAGCAATTTGCATCTCATTCACTGCAGGGCAATATTCTGAATGGTTGGAGGTAGGCAAAATTTAACCCTAATCTCTCTTTTGAGGCGAAGAGGAAGATTTTATAATGACAGTAATGTAACTGAGCTATAGAAACTATTGTATCATACCTCTTCAGCAATGCAGAGGTTATCCAGAATTGTGTCTGAACTTGGTAACAGAGAAAACAGTAAGTTTAAAAGAACCTTTTAGGTTAGGACCCCTTCAGCAACACAGCAGTGGCTTCTGACATGACCTGCATGGCCACACAGTGCAAGCAGCTGGCTGCACACCAAGTTTTGCGTTTTTAGGGCAAGACACAGTATCTAAATGGTCATTTGGCCTCCACAAAGGAAAAGCAGCAAAGGCTTGCCATGTTCTAAATCTGTATTTAGTCAGAAAATTAGTAGTGCCCATTTCTGTACAAGCTGTGAGATGCCGAGATTCCCCATGAAATTTGTGTTTATTGCTCAAAAGCTTTCACAGCTGACCACAGCAACCATCAGCCTGCAGCAAAACCTCTGGACAGGGAAATGGAAAATTGTAAAACATAGATCCACCTCCTCAGCTGCCACTGAAGTATTTCCTTCAAACTTAAATTATTAAATGCAATACTTACTAAGAACTGGAATTTTAAAAAGCCCAAAATGAAATGGCTCTCAAATTGGGAGTAACGTATGTTTATAATTTAGGATCATAAAAGCCTGCATAAGATTGTGCTGGGAAGATAGAAACAAACATTATTTGGGTACAGTCCCTGCACTGCAGTGGGACTTCAGGGCTGGTTTAAAACTCCCTTTCTTAAGAGGTATTTTTTCTTGAGTCTGAGCCACAGAAAGAACAACTACTGTCTCAAATTGTACATTTCCCAAGGGAGAAAATATCAGTTGAAAACCTACATGTCACAGCCATTTAAAATATTTTGTTAAGATACAGTTAGTTGCAGTGTTCACTGATAATGGATACTAAACATGAAAAGCATTAATCTGTATTGTTTAGCTGAATCTCTGTTCTCGTTTATGTACTTGTATTAATGTTGATTGGCAGAAGGGAACATACGTGCCTGTTTTTTTTATGCTATCTGTGGATTATTTTTTTAAAATAAATGTAATTATATAAGAAGCCCACACATCTATTTGATTGCAACATGTCAAGGACTGGTTACTCCCAGGCAGAAAAAATACTGTTAAAATGCACCTTGGTTGCTGTATTTCACAGCCAGAGAATATTATATACAATCTCCCATTTGCACTCAACTTCATCTTAAGGTTCACCTAGTTAATTTGACTTTAAATTAGCATTAAATATATCTGCAATATAGTTTGTTAAGCTAAGAGATTGTAGAAATAAGTTTTTAATGATCATTACAGTGTAACTGTTACAGAAACTTACATTGCCTTCTTCAGTTCCACACAAAGCTCACCAGCAACTCTTCATAAATGCCTCACTTAAGAATGGCAGGTACATAGTTTGTTTTCTTACGTTGCCAACAGTTCTGTTTATTATTTTGCAGTTCTTTCCATATGGAGATGCTTCAAAGTTTGCCCAGCACGCCTTCCGAACCTTTGATAAAAATGGAGATGGGACCATCGACTTCAGAGAGTTCATTTGTGCACTGTCCATCACCTCACGAGGCAGTTTTGAGCAAAAGTTAAACTGGGCCTTCAACATGTATGATTTGGATGGTGATGGTAAAATTACAAGAGTGGAAATGCTGGAAATTATAGAGGTGAGATCAATATGACACTCAGAAATATAAAATTTTATTAATGTTCATATATATTTACTTGTTCACATCCCCTTTAGATTTTAAGCACTTAAGAAGTCGTACTGTAGGCTTAAAAGTGTGTATTACGTACATTCATCCTTTACTGACTCATGCCTAAGTGGTAGAAGCACACTAACATCTTAATAGATGTAATCTTTCAAAATTGCAGAGTACATATGTGCATATAAGCTTTTAAATAAGCTGAGGTTTGTTTGTTTTTTTTTTTTTGCTGATGAACAGATTAACCATAAGATCAGAATAGCAAAGGATTTACAAAGCCCATCATCTCAAAATCACTTGACACGCATGAAATTACTGGTTTGTAGCTCAAGTAGCTGAAACCTGACTGGAGATTAACTTTAGATGATTACAGAAACTTACAGGGATAACAACACACTATTTTAAGTGAGCTCTCACAGATGGGCTTTAAGATGACCACAACATATAACAAGAAGGATAAAGTTTACCATCTCATCATCTGCTGGCTACTTGCTGCAGTAGTTTATAACATAGTTTACTCACATGTACACATAGAAAGCTGTTGAAAGGTGATGACTTCTAAAACTGATTATTCAGAATTTATGTAAAATATTTCAGTTGAGTGACTAAAAGCCAAAATAAACAAGTTGATCCAGAGAATAGGTTAAAACAGTTTTGCACTGTGAAACAGAAAGTTAAAGAAATTCATTCCAGGATGCCAAATGCATCCACCAAATTAAATCTACATCTAAAGAAAGTAAACCACATTCTTCCTTGTTTTACGTATATAGACATCAGCTTCTAAGAAAAAAAAAAAAAGAAATCTTTAGGTAAATGGGCATTTTATTGTTGGAATATCTTTCCAGAATTTGATCGCATCAAAAAATCAGGTTATTTTGTATGTTGAATTTTCCATTTGGTTTCTTTCCAAAGGCCATCTACAAAATGGTGGGCACTGTGATAATGATGAAAATGAATGAGGATGGTCTGACGCCTGAGCAACGGGTAGACAAGATCTTCAGTAAGATGGATAAGAACAAAGACGACCAGATCACACTGGATGAATTCAAAGAAGCTGCAAAGAGTGATCCTTCCATTGTATTACTCCTGCAGTGTGACATTCAAAAATGAGCTTGTGTACAATGCGTCATAGACTGCACAGAAGTTTAATGTTCCATTCAGTTTGCAGCTATTTCCACACACACAAAAATTTGCTTGGACTACCTATAAATGGACTTGCTTCTTGTGTTTGAAACACTTGTGTGCATGAGAATGTCATTTGCTAAAGAATTTTAAAAGTATATATTATAAAAATAAACTGCCACAACGTGATGTGTGCAATGTCATTTCATAACAGCCCTATTCCTCTGAAGCCTGTGCAGCAGTCCTGTGCTGCAGTGAATTATATTATTTATTGTTCATGTTTTACTGATGCTAGCTCTGTGTCTCCTAGACTGAGTAATGTTAGTGACACTGAATTCCCATGGTAATGTTAACTGTTTATTATAAATCATGTCACCATTCTGCTGTAAAGTAGTACTGGACAGACAGAGGGGAAGAGTTCCTCAGCTCTTAAGTCTGATCCACACGTGTGCTTGTATTGTCAGTGGATATAAATGTACTTCATTTGCATGCCTTTTAGGTTTGCCTTAATTCTTACCTCATTTGCATCCCTTCAATCTGGAAAGAGCTATGTCAGAGGAATGCAGTATTAAAAAAATAAAATCCTGCTAAAATTATCCCTTTAATTAAAAATATATATAAATATATATATATATAATATGTTTAAAATATTGTTTTATTGGAAGTTTAAAGGTTTTATTGGAAGTGTATTGATCTTTGCCTGAATTTTCAAAAGCTTCCACAGAGGTTGCAATATATATGTCCCAAAATAAATTTATAACATTTGACCTTTTCCCCTAATTCTTATTTCATGTCTTCAGCACTGTAATAGAAAAAAAAAAAAAAATCAATCTTTTTAATTATGTCACTGTACTACTGGGAAATACATACTTCATTATGAAAACATGAAGAAAACTTTGCATTCACTCAAAGAGTCATATGAAACCAAAAGTTGTAGTGCTTACATTTACCAACAGAGCAGCTGTTTATCCTCCAAGATGCTAATATTTAACAGTATACCTCCTATGGAGCTTTTTAAGCTAGCTGGAAGTCAACTACAGTTTATTTGCTTGGCCTAAACACCTGGTCTTCTAATATTTTTCCCTCCTTAAGTCTTTTCTCTTACCACATGACATTATGTTAAACCTGGAGTAGTTTAAACAGACACGTTTTTAAAAATCATTACTGATAAATTAACCATAAAATATGATGATTGAGAAGGGATAGTGAAGAGAGCCACCTTCCTCCTCAATTCTGTGTGCATCAATCAAGTTTATCTCTATACTGTGGCAAGTACAAGTTCTGCATAACCCTGGGAAAGGAACAAGAACTTGCAGAGTGCCAAAATTGCACGTAAAAATCTTCCCTACACCACATTTCCCAGTTGCTTTAAACAGTTGGTTGCTTGAAGGATTACCAAAAAAAAAAGTTTGAACATCTTACAATTGCATGTTTGATCTTTCTTCTTTACCTTACAAAGAAAGATGGTACTCTTTAATAGCTAAAAATCAAACAATAAAACATCACAAACCAAATTATTTGCTGTATTTTCAAATCTAAAAGGTAAAGCTCATCTTGAAACTGAGAGGAAAAAAAGCCAAAAAGCAACAAAAACGAAGTTTTACACATTTTGCTAACAAATGTGAGGGGAACACAGAATCCATCAGTTGTTGCCACAACCACATCCATCCTCTCATATTTAAGTTTCTTCATATTCCAAAGAGCAAAATGCAGAAATTTCAACTTGTTTAATACCACAATTTTTAGACTGCACAGATATAGTCTTAGCAAATTAGAAAGTGGTATACTTTGTACGTTTGGCTGTAACTTAAAACGCATTCTGAAAATGTTACATACTTCTGGGAATTATTTTTATATATATATATATATATGTATATGTCCATTGCTTCCACTTAGGCTGAAATTGCTAGCTGTAGAAAGGATGTTTAATATTCCTGGGAATTTATGCCTCTTTGGTTTACATATACTTAGTAGAGAAGCAGTACTTCATTCTACATTTTCCTGCACCTCGAATTTTTGTAGCTGGACAGGCTCCATTTACTTTAATGCAGCATTAAGCAACCACATTGCCATCCAAAATGGCCAACTCAAACACAGCCACAAAACATCATCAGCATTGCATTCTCTCTCTAGGTAGCTGGTATAGTAAACTCTGTATTTAAAGTACCAAGAATAAGATGGTTTTGAGACCCTAGTAGGATCACTGCAAAAATAAGTGCATCCAAGCAAGTGCTTCAGTAATTGTTTATTCAGAATTATTCTTCTACCATGAAAACAGTTACTTAAAATAATTATACAGTCAGGCACACATTTCCATCAAGTACAATGGTAGATTAGAATAAATACAATACGTTGATTTGAACCAAAGACCAAAATTGTTGCCAACAGCTCCAATATTTCAAGTAAGTCTATAGAAAACCTGGGAGAAAGTTGAAGTGTTAGCTCAGTAGGAATGTGATAATTTTCCTTGGGCTCTTTTCTCCACACGATTCACTATAGAAGTACTGATGAGGATAAATGCTTTTCTCTCCCTTGCCTCTGCACTCTTTATTTTTTGAATGCTGAAGGAAATCAGGAGGAACTAACTCTATGCCATTCTATCCTTCCATACTGTAAAAGGATCTGGAACATACTTTATAGTTTCATCATAAAATCAAGTCAAATTAAACACATGGGTCATGACTATGTAATAATATCAAGGACTCCCAATACAAATGAACCAGGCTTGAGTTTGACAGGTTTTGCCAAGTATGTACTTGGTATGGTTCCCCTCCCCCCCCCCCCCCC